GCTGAGAGCAAACTTTGAAACCATTTTAAGTATGTTATGAAATAGCCTGACAAAGACACACATTTTTTTTTCAGGTTCAGCTCAGACACAGTCCTGCTCTCAGAAAAAACCTCTCTGTGAGCTAAGCCCTGCAGTAAGCCTCAGGGCTACCTGTGCTTCAGAGGGGAGCAGGAAGGGACTAGAGAATTCATTTATTTTCTCATTTAAATCAAATCCTTTCTTATAACCAGGACTGGCTGGGAAGGCAGGAGCACCACTCAGCCAAACAGACAGATTAAGAGCACTGGCTGAAAATGCTGATCCCCCCTCAACACCCTGAAAACAACCCATTGCAGTGTCACAATGCACTGTCACAACAGCTATAGTCCAGGAAGAGATTGAGTGGGTGGGATAAAAAGGCCATTAGGGGAACCAGTGGGACTTCTACCTTGGTTTTTTTTTTTAATCCTTGCCATTTGCTGCCATTTTGTCCTTTCCAAAGACAAAAAGTGTCCTCACCAGTGTTGTCATGACTCTCCCCTCCCCGCCACATACAACATCTTTGGGAGGGACAGCTTAGCAGCTTTAGAGACAGGAGGTCTACACAGTCACTACCCTCTCCCTAGGTTTGGCGATGCAATGTTGGGAGGAGAGAGCCCTCTGGGGCATTGCTGAGGTCAAACTTGGGCTCTGACACCTCTTCAAGCCCTCGGTAAAGGCAGGAGAGAGGTGCTAGCCTTCCAGTGGATGACTGGTCCTATGTATTTGCTCAGATTTAAAGAATAAGACAATGCAAAGCTCTAGGCGCACACACAATTCACATTTCCTAGAGAAACCATAAGATATGGTCAACTGCCCTGTCAGTCGAACCATAAGATATGGTATAAGATAGGTCAACTGCCCTGTCAGCAGTAAAGCACTCCTAACTCCACCTAAATTGGCAAACCTTGTCTCTTCCCAACAGCCCCAGTGAAAACCTATTTTAATAAAGCTATTATAATAGAGGAGCTATTATAATAGAGTCCGCAAGGGACCAACTGGGCTTGGTTTGACCAAGCGAAGGGAGTAAAGTTCAGAAGGAAAGCTCCTTCTCTGAAAATCCCTCTCCCAGAGGAAGGCAACCGTGGACTGGCAGTTCAAGCGTCCCAATAGACAGATTCAAACCCTTCACTGGCCTGTAAGGCCCTGTATGATCCCTTCCCACCATGTCTGTGCTCTCATCACCCTCATCTCCCCCTGTGCTCCTGTCTCTGCACGCTTTCACTCATGGTGGCCCCATACCTATGGCTTCATCAAGGCCTCACCCTCCTGCAAAACCTCAACTCTGGCAGGGACCCAGCCCACCTTCCCACCCCAACCATCTCCCCCACCCTTTTCTTCCCAACTATCCCACCAGTGTGTGTTTCTAATCTCATTTGGGGTTTGACCCTGCACCTGCTGAAGCCAATGGCAAATCCCTTATTGACAGGCAAGGATGAAGACTCAGCCCTGAGGCTCTAAGGTCTTCAGGGAAGGACTTGTTTGTGTAGCACCCAGATGCACTTGCTACACCAGTGTCATTTGTAAAAGCCCCTCTGCAATAGGCACTGATGGACAGAGATGCCCAGGTCTAAATGGGCAGTGGAGACTGAGCCCCTCTCTCAGGTCTCAGCTTGGTTAAGAGTCCAGGTTAAAAGTGAATCATGTTGGTTGGACAGCTTGCCTGGCAGCTGTGGATAAACGACTCAGCTCCCTGGGGAGCCAGTCCAACCCCAGCTGATAAAACCAGCAACAACAAGGGAAGGAACCCGGGCAGGAATTCTCCCCATCTTAACAGGTTTCCATGTGGACACAGAGCTCTAATCCCCAGTGAGCCCCGAGCTGGCTCATTGCTCTCTGTCCCATGTGGAGGAAGCGGGAGGCTTTGGGCTGCATTTCCAGGAGCTGAATGTTTGTAGATGTGGGTTAGGGCCAGTCCAGTAGATGTGACCCCCACCTGCCCCACCAAGCCACGTCCATTCCAGCCACTTCTCACAGCTCAGGTGGGCAGATTGCACGGGGGTGAGTCACAGCCCCAGTCCTGCTCTCCGGATGGCCAGAAATAGCCCTGTTCGCTCCAGCCCTGCAGGACTCCACTCAGCCCCAACCACTGCACAAAGTTTGGACGATTGCTGTCTGGGGAACTTGAGGCAATACTTCAATGATGGGCACTAATGGAAGAATATAACTAGGCAGTCATCTTGGTGACAAGGATGGGAAGCTGCTTCCATCCACTTCGCAATGGTGTTGAAAGCTTTGCTCGGGGAATTGGTGCCCAGCTAAAGGCTTGTAGAGCAAAGTCATTCCCCTCCCACACCACCCACTGCACCTCTGGATCCAGCACTGTACTCTGCCCCTTGTCATGCTCTAAAACAGGGGTGGGCAAAATGAGCCTGAGGGCTGGATGCCACCCACCAGGCCATTCTATCCGGCCTGCGGGGCTCCTAAAAAGTTTAGAAAATTAATATTTATCTGCCCCCGGCTGCCTGTCATGTGGGTGCAAGCCCTCGATGGCTTGCCAAAACTCAGTAAGCGGCCCTCTGCCCGAAATAATTGCCCGCCCCGCTCTAAGGATTCTGCCTCCTCCGGCCAAACTTGCTAGAGAAGCAGCATTAAGAAAACCAGGCCAGCATCATCAGAAAGTATATTGTGAAACCCAGCTCTGCTCAAGGGAACCAAGCACTGCTAGCAGTCACTCCCGAGTGTATGGCAGGCACTTTGGCGGATAACTGACCATGTCCCTGGGGCATGGACTAGACCCCCTGCGCTCCAGCTGCTGGCTCCATGTTGCTCTACAAGTCTCTCTGCTCAGACTCACCTTGCCGTCAGAGCATATCTCTGGGACTTCTTTCTCTCTGATTTTGCTGTTCTTCTCTGCCTGGCTTTCTCCTTGCACTACTCATCTGTCAGTCTGTCTGAGTCGACAGTCGCTTGCCTCTCTCCCTATGCCTTTCTTTCCTGGCCTTTCTTTCCCTCTGTCTCCCTTGCTCACTCTCTCTCTCAGGAAATTAAAGATAATCCCCCCCCCTTTTTTTTTGCTGCCAGATTCCCTGTTTAACATTCCCTGCATGTGCTTGCGCTGATTCAAAACAGGATTAGACATTCTGTTGCTTTGATGTCAGTTGGGCTTTGCACTGAAGGCAGAGACGGGGGGAAAGAAAATGTCTATTAATGAGCTTCGCAGGTTCTGCACATCCAGTTCCACCGGTTGTCCAAGTGAAGGTCAGAGGCAATTATCTGTAACCCCGATAATAAAGGCAGGGTCCCCTTCCACTTGGATTAGTCTGAAGGAGGGACAGAGAAGCTTGCCCTGATCCCGTGACATGGCAGCCAGCCGCTCTCCATTCCCGTGCTGTTTGTTATTCCATAAGTCGCTGGCTCCAACTCCCGATTCTGTTTTCATGAGGTACTTTGGGGGCTTATCGGCTCCTGTTAGGAGGCGAGGTTTAATTAATCATATGAAAACATGACTTGTTGGACTGTCAGAGGATATTATAAGCTACAGCCGCCACCCAGCAGGGTGCAAATATACCACCGAAAGTCACTTTTGGCAGAAAGATCTGCCCCTCGGGATGTGTATGGGCAATATATGCCAGGGTTTACCCTGTGGCCTCTGCAAGAAAAGCAGAGACAGAAGCAAGCATTCTGGGATTACACATGGAAGGTAGTTAAGAGGCAAGAGCACATCTGGGTTTTCCTAAGCCAGCTACTGCTCATGGAGAGGCCTGGTGGGAGCTAGCTGCAGTTATACCTCTTCACATCAGGCCTGAATTTCTCTTCAGGGCCTTCCACTAGGAATATGCAGCTAGGATCATTCTCACTGGCCTAAATGCCCTGTTAGTTCATATAACTGAGCCTGCATGTATCAAGGTAAATCCACCAGAAGTCTGTAGGCTGGCAACTCTGAGAAGTTGTGTGTGAGCTTTGTCTTGTGTTGTCTCTAAGAAACTGTTCGGGTGTTATATGATGGTTCTGCGCTCCAGTCACCACTTGTGGGGTGTCCACTTGGAGCCAGCGATATCAGAAATAGCTCACAGCACAGGAGGATTAGAGAGGAGGGAAGATCCTCTCTTCGGCATGAGTGATGTCACTTATTTTCAGCCCACTCCAATCTGGCACGTCCTTGGTCCTGTTTCTGGGGATGATACCTTGATTCATTCTCTTGTGCTGTGTGTCTCCCTCACCCTGGGTTATGGTCAGATCTTGCACTCTAGGCCAGGGTCTGGCTGGAAGAGCTGCTTTCCTCAGTCTCACAAAGGAAGTGTTCATTCTTTTAAATTTCATAACTGAACTTGCCCTGCCCTGACTTCCCTACAGTCCAGACCCAAGGTGGAAGATAAGTCTTTAGTTTCTGTAGGTGCAAGAGGCCCCATCACAGGTTGAAAGCCATGGGCAGATCTTCTAGGTTCTTACATGGGCAACTGGTGCCTCCCAAGTCTGGTGGGGCACCAGATTGCCGGTGGGGGGGCAATCGCGGACTGGGGGGTTGGGGGTCCCCCAGCGGCCGATTGATGAGCCAGTGCACTTCCAGTTTCGTGGCTAGCACTTCCAGGGGGTACACGGCCAATCTCAAGGGGTGCGCAAGCACCCATGTGCACCCCTACACATCGCCAATGGGTTCTTACTTGATTAGAGTGAGCCCACTCCTGTTCTCACTACCATAAAGAAGAGTTGTACCATTTATTTTAACATGTACATTGAGCAGAAGGCAGGGTCAATATGTACCTTCGAGACTACCTAAGACATATATAAAACATAAGCTTTCATGGACTTGAGCTCACATCATCAGATGCTGTGGTGTGTTCAAGTTCACAAAAACATATGCTTTCTATATATCTTATGTCGGGAGATCACCGAGTACGGACGTGGGCCTCTGCATCCCATTGACATTCATTGGCCTTCTTTTCCAAGGCCAGTGCCAGTTGGCACAGCTGGGTCGGTCTTCCTCGCTCTTATCTCGCCTGCCACGACTTTGATGACGTAATTAATGGGGGGGAGGGGTGATGACTCCCCGACCTCACATTGACTGGCACTTGCCCCAGGACCAGACTAGGTACGTAACAAACTTCTTTGCAAAAAAGAATAAAATTAACAAAAAACTTGCTGTCTGTAGTGTTTCCTCTCCCGCTGCAGGGAACTCAGAGGCAGCATCTCGCTTGCCCCCTGCCTGCAACCAACAAGTGCTTGATCGCCGGAGCCGCAAACAAGCGGGGTTGTTTTTTTTCTCCTTTTACTTGTGGTTATTGACACCACACCAGCTTAACTGACCTCCCACGGCAATCGATTACCGCAGAAACGTCTCTCTCTCCTCTCTTTTTTGTTGTTTTTAGGTGTGAGCTCCTCCAAGCTCGCAAGACCCAGCAGACCTCTTGCCCCATTCCTGGGGACTTCATTTCCAGGCAGCAGATGGGTATCTACCCTATCTGCCTGCACTGTCCTCTCCTTGTCCTTTCCTTCTCTTGTCCAGTCTCCTGGGCCCGGAAATAGCCCCCGGCCACTTAATTAGGCCAATCCATCTCACCTGGCGAGGTGATAAAGCGGTGCTGGGGCGGGTAGGGAGATCCTGTTGCAGCATGGTCCCACCACTGCAGCTGGGCAAATTCCCTTGGCTAGGGGCCCACGCCTAGTAAGTACTCTTGGTTTCTTCACATTTATTGAGTTAGTCAATAAGGTGCACATCTACCCTGCCTTCTGCCTGACTTCAAACTAACACAGCTAGTACTTCTGTCTACATATGCTGGACCCAACAAACGAAGGCCTGGTTTGCATTCAGACCTCCCATAAGAGCCCAAACAACTCCATCCTGAGCATGGCTAGTGCTGGAGATGAGAGTGCTGGTTCCAGGAAGCACCTGGGCAATTGCAATATTCCAACTACAATATTTAGGGCCTCCTGAATTAGGCAAGGGCTCTCCCCCAAAGCATTCAGGGATATGTCACTTCCCAAATAGTGCTCACCTTCCCCTGATATGCCATGTCCTAAATAGTGCCCACCTTTTTGGACACATCCAGGTAGACATGTTGTCACTCGCTAGTGACTGGCTCTGGAGGGAGTGCATGTGGCCCTAGCTTGAAGAAGCTCCTTTAAGCGTATTCCCCAGAAGGCTCTTATACGTTTCCATTTGCCTCTGTCCTGGGCTGCACTAACCCATCCAGCCTCATTCCACTGGGACACTGCTCCTTGCTACTGGCTGGCATTGTTTTACTTAGCTCTGTGTTCCCAGGGCTATTCACAGACCATGGAGGAAAGAGCCCCAGCGCTCCACAAGCTCTTCTAGCAACCATGCAGGGTGTAATTCATTTTGCCCAGCACTCACACAGGCTTGATTAGTGCCTGAAATGAGCTCCATCTATCACAGTGGAGTAAAGCAGATTAACTCACAGCGTGCCTGCCTCACGTTGATCCCATTCTCCGGGCCTCCTGATTAATGGAGCAGCCTTCTTTACCTGTCAGGCCAGGAAATGTGAGTATCCAAGCTGGCTTGCAACGAAGAGAAATATGGACGTTCAGTGCAGAAACAGGTCATTTCTGGATGTGTCAGCCTAAGTGCTACCATCTGGACCTCACGGATGTGCACCTGTTCTGTCGGCTCCCATCCCCTGCTCCCCTATCCCACATGCTCCCATCTCTGCTTCTCCCCTCACTGCATTCATCCCTCTCCCTGTTGCCCACAGTCCCTGTGCTCATGCTCTTTCCCCGCAGTCCCCTTCCTTCTCACTCCTTTCCCCTACACAGTCTCTCCTCTGAGGTCCCTGCTTGGTGATCTTTGAATTAGATGCTAAATGTCATCCCAACCCACTAGCATTTTCCTAGGGGGTGACCGTGTCATGGATCAGGGCCTGTGGACATGCCCACTGCTCCCATAAACTCTGAGAACTCAGGACCATCAGGAAAGGGGCCTTCTGGGCAGATCGCAGCCTGTATCTCAGCCAGGACTGCGGGAACTGCTAGTGTGATGTTGCTGCTCATTCTCCAGAGCTGTACAGCATGAGGAACAACCTGCTGAGAAGAGCTCTCCCATGGCAATTTGCATTCCCTGAGGAATTGGGATGGCTCCCCCTTTTCTCGCAGATCTGGCTCGGGGGGCACCTCTGGAATTTGGCTCCTTCATAGCATACACATGAGTTCTGGATACAAGAGGTATTTCTCTGAAGCACCCAGCTCTACTAGCCGCATGACACAGGAGCAGGATAAGACAGTAGAGTGAGGTTCATGCAGTCAATATTGGGCTTTGGCCTCTAAAGCCCAATCTAAAGCCCATGCTGATCAGTAGGAGTCTTTTGATCTAGTGCAATGGATCAGTGGAATATGGCCCCAAGTCCATAGCTTTGCAGGGGGTCCCTGTTTTGCTTGCCTCTTCCCAGAGCAAGTATACGTAAAGTGGATCCTTTGGACTAATGATGGTGTCTGGAAGAGCTCCAGCCTCCAACCCTACCTCACCAGTGAGGTTTCATTAAAACCTCTTTTCTTTCAGCTCCCTCCAGCTTGGCTTCTGCAGCGATCAGTTGTTTTATTTTTTTAAGTGGAAATTATTTCTCATTTCCCTTCACAATCGCAACACACATGGGAAGAGAAGGGACAGGAAGGAGTTCCTGAGAGATGAAAGAGCAGGACTGCAGAGAGGGCTTCTGCTTTGTTATCCCCCGGTGCAGCTTAGAAAGTCTTTTCAGAAGCTGAGTTTAATTAACTATTTTTTTTACCCTACAGATAAGTTTTTCTTCATAAAAGGAAGCAGGGGTCTTGAGTTAGAGTTAACTTCTCTGGTCGGCTAAGAACACGGTGCGCCATCTAAGCAATGCACATTAATAGTAACGCTTAGTTCTTACATCCTGCTTTACATCTGGAGATCGGAGTGCCTTGCAAAGGTCATCAGTACCATGATCGTATTTTACAGGTGGGAAAACAAAGGCACGGAGAAGGGAAATGGCTTGCCCAAGGGCACTGAGTAAGCCAGAGGCAGGGACAGTCAGGTCTCTTAAGTCTCACCTCAGTGTTTTGTCCACTGGGCTACACTACCTTCAAATGGCTACAGACAGCCTGTTATGTAGGGGGACTGTCCATTGAGGGATAGACGGTGTCAGAGGATAGCAAAGGACCCAGCGTTTTCACTCGTCATGTCAGCCACATCTCTTCTTCCTCTTCTCCATCCTGTCACCTGAACCCAGTTCCTTCTCCTGCTCCTCCCAGTTGCTTTGCGTCCCCTCATAAGCCTTTTTCTAAATAACTCCTCGCTTCATCTCACCCACCCACGTTCCAGTCCACTTCCTTGCCCAAATTGCAGCGTTCTGCAATTGCAGCCATGTCAGACTTAACAGTCCCTACAACTTCCTTGCAGAAGTAGGACAGTCAGGGTGTTTTCCCACAGGCCTTATCCACCTGGCTGCTTGAATGGGGCTTTTCATACTGAGAAGTTGTGTCAAGTGAGTAATTCCCTGCTTCCAGGAATACCCCCAATTCACAGAAAGGCAGTGGTTGAACATATGGCTGCTGTGACTGCCGGCAATCCCCCATCTGGTGCTCAGAGTGATTGGATCAGGACATAAGCCCCAAGGGAGGCAGGTATTGGGTACAACAGCACTGGCTGTTGGCCACTTCACTTCCATGATAAATAGTCCACCACATGTTAGTGTAATGGTGGAGTTATAGTGTTAGGAAATGCAGAGTCTAAATCTACCCTAGTCACCTTCTTCTGTTGCGCTACAGGCTGAGACACCGAAAAATTGGCATTTTGGGAATGTAATATTTTGGACTAGTAGTCACAACGTTACATGTCAGCAGGCTCAGTCTCTCCTCCGATCTGCACACACAGCTCTGGGTGATACTGGGAAGTTGCTCAGATGTAGGCTGGAGACTAGTAACTCCCCATGTAAATCAAGAGGAAAATCACTGGAGGCAGAGCAGCTTCTGAGCTGCAAGTAGGGAGTCAAAGGTGTACAGGGACACAGGACATGCCTTGGCCCAGGACTTCCTGGACCACTGAGTCCAGTGCCCAGCTATTGCAGGCAACTTCATCATATAATCTTGTTCACTAACTTTTTAAGCTGCGTCTTAATAACATTTTGGCTTCTTGCCCCCACCACTCCCAATGGAAGGCTGTTCCAGCACCGTGCTCTCCAAGGGTTAGAAACCTTCTAATTTCCAGCCTCAGTTTATTCATGAACAGTTTATACCCCATCTGATTTTGTGCCAACATTATCTGTCAGCTGAAAGAGCAATTCTCCCTCCCTGGTGCTCGCTTCTCTGTTATGTCTATAGAGAGCAATCATATCCCCTCTCAGCCTTTGGCTGAACAAGCCTGTTTTTTAATCTCCTCAGATCATTGCAACAGCCCTCCTCTCCACAACTGTATATGGTATTCCAGCTGAGGTCTTACCAGTGACTTGCAGACTAGTGTTAGACCACTTTATCTCCCCCAGAAATACCTTGGTTTATCCATCCTGGGTTGCACTGGTCTTTGTTGCAGATGCATCACATTGGTGGTTCCCAGTCATCCTGTGATTGAGTAATATGCTGGCATCTTTCTCCTTCTTTGTCTTTCTGAGTAGTAGACCTCCAGCTGAAAGGAGAAATTCTTGATATCGATTCCCAAGTGTCGGACTTTGCAGTGTATATCATTAAATGTCATCCCATTTCTGTTACTCCAGGCCTCAAGGACATCTGGTTCTTCCCAGCAATCTTCTGATCCTCTTTTGCACTGATGATGCTTCCCAACTTCATGCTCATTTCATAAGCACATTCCTACTTCTTGTGCCAAGCTCATTAATGAGTATGTTAAAGACAACTGATCCTAACATCAATCCTTGAGTATCTTAGAATCTCTCTATGACCTGAGAGCTTTCCTTCCAGCACAAACCTGTGGTCACCTCCTTTGAGGACAGTTTCTTACTTACCTACCAATGTTTATACTAATCATGGCCTTGTACAGCTTAACAAGTCATTCCCCATATGATACCAAGCCAAACACTTTACTGAAATCTAGCCAGGATCTAGACCAGGGGTGGGCAGAAAGCGGCCCGAGGACCGGATACAGCCTGCCAGGTCATTCTATCCGGCCCACGGGGTCCCTAAAAAATTTAGAAAATTAATATTTATCTGCCCTGTGCTGCCCGTCATGCGGCTCTCAATGGCTTGCCAAAACTCAGTAAGTGGCCCTCTGCCCAAAATAATTGCCCGCCCCTGATTCTAACCCAAAGAAATTCTTGCCCCTGGACCAACAGGGGTTCTAGAAAATCAGTTAGTCCACCTCTTTTTTTTTCTCCCTTTCTTAAATATAGGCACTTTGTTTGGTGTGCTCCAGTTTAGATGGTACCACTACCTATGTGACAGATGTATTAAAGAGTCTTGCTACTAAATGTGCAGTTTCACATGCCAGTTCTTTCAGCACATATATATGATGAAATATGTCCAGCC